ATTTGACTTCCTTCCTAGAGGGAAAATACATGTTGCAGCTGGTGGAGAGGAAAGCCTTTTTGCACCAGAACTGCACGGCCTTAATGATTCTCAGTAACAGCGTGGAACAAATCACAGGTTTTCTATTTGTCTATCTTGTGGCTTTTGTTCTTTAGAACTCTTCCCATTCTGGGGGCCAAGTGACTAATCCTTTTCTTTCTCCTTAGTTCTTGGCAATTCTTTATCTCTTTCTTGAAACTTAGATCCCTGAACTTGTAAACTTGGCAGGGGGTTTACTCCTGAGGCAACCTCTAAGGCTGGTGCTACTCAGGAAATTTCCTTTCTGTTCTAGAATACTAGATTCCAGGATTATGCTGCCTAGGAAATTTTCCTCCTCTTCTTACCACAAGATAGGTGTTCTGCAACTCTCTCTATGAACTATTCTCTTGGGCAATGCTTTCTAATCTCCTCCCCTCATTCAATTTGGGATGCAGTTCATGTCTGACTCCACCATATGCTTCTGTTTTGCTGTTGTTCAGTCATTTTAATTACTCTATTTGGGGTTTTCTTAGCAAAGATCCTGAAGTGTTTTGCTATTTCCTTTTCCAGCTCATTTTGTAGATGAGGAGATGGAGGCAAACAGGGTAAAGTGACTTGCCCAAAGTCACACAGCTAGTGAGAATCTGAGGCCAGGTTTGAACTCAGAAAGATGAGTCATCCTGACTCCAGGTCTGGCACGATTACTCATTGCACTACCTTAGCTGCCTCTCATAGCTTCTGTCTTGTAGTAGCTATTAATGGCTACTACTGGTTGGCAGGCTCAATTCTTCACTATTACCCAGAGGCTGTTGCCATCTCTTGGGTCAGGACCTCTTGGTTCTCTCCAGAATCATGTGTTCAGAAAGGGAAACAGAGAAGTAAACACCAGCTAGGAACCTTGAAGTCCAAAAGCTCTTCTCTTGCATGACTGAGGCAAGCACATGCAGCTCAATCACTATATGCTTCTGACAAAAATCAGTCATTAATCAATCAATTAGTTAACATTTATTAAATATCTACTATTTGCCAGGTACTGTGCTAAGCACTGGGGAAACAAAGAGGCAAAAGACAGTCCCTGACCTCGAGGAACTCACAATCTAGTGGATAACTCCTTTTGGATGGGGATGAAAGAAGCTCCCTTTCCCTCTGCTCCACCCTGAAAGAAAGGCACGAGATAAAAAGAGAAAAAGTTAAAAAGAAGGAAGAATGGAGTGCCCTCTTTCTTTTATAGGCTGACACCAAGAAGGTACCAGGTGATGTGTCGATAAAGATTTAACAATTGGCCCTCCGAAAGAACAAACAGGAACTTGTACCCATGACACAGTTTCAAGTATTATCTGCACTATCAACATTTTCCATTACTTTCTTAAGTCTAGACAACCAACAACACAATATCCCAAGCCCTGATTTGTATCCTTTTGCCAATTTCTGAGGCAGAAATGATCAAATTGAAAATTTAACAATTGGAGCAGTGGATAGAATGCTGGGCCTGGAATCAAGAAGACTCATCTTTCTGAGTTCAAACCTGGCCTCAGACATTCACTAGCTGTGTGACCCTGGGCAAGTTACTTGACCATGTTTGCCTCAGTTTTCTCATCTGTAAAATGAGCTGGAGAAGGAAATGTCAAACTATTCCAGTATCTTTGCCAAAAAAATCCCAAATGGGGTCACAAAGTGTTGAACAAGAATGAAATGACTGAATGAGAGCCTGTATGAACTGACTTCTAGACAACTAAATTATAGCTTCGGTCATTAAAATCCATCCCCCATGAAGTTCTAAGAAATGGCTGAAAAGTGACTAATTCATCTTGGGACAATAGTTATCACTGAGACCTAGGAGGGATCTGAGTCTACAAGCATTTATTAAGCACCTACTATATTCCAGGAATTGTGCTAAGGATTGGGGATACAAAGAAAGGCAAAAAACAATCACTGCTCTCAAGGAGCTCACATTCTAAGGGAGGAGACAACATGCAAACAACTGAGTATGAACAAAATATCTAAGGAATAAATTTTATATACTATATACATATATACACATACATACATGTGTATGTATGTGTATGTATGTATATTAATAATCAACAGAAAGAAGGCATTAGTATTAAGGAGAATGGAAAAGGCTTCTGGTAGAAAGGTGAATTTTCGCTAGGAATTGAAGGAAACCAGGGAAACTGGGAGACAGAGATTAATTCCAAGAGGGAATTATTGGGACTAGCCAATGAAAATAACTGGGGCAGGAGAAGAAGTGTTTTGTTGGAGGAACAGCAAGGAGGCCAAAGGTCTTACCTTACTCTACCTTACCAAAGGGTAAGATGATCAGAGTAAAATGTAAGATGACTGGACAGGCAGGAAGAGGTTTTTTTTTTTTAAATTTAAAAATATTTTGTAAAAAAAAAAAGGTCTTTAAAAACCATCAGAGGGTTTTATATTTGAATCTGGAAGTAATGGGAAACCACTTAAGTTTTTGTCCTCTTAACAAGACGTCAGTGCAAATGTCCATATTCTCTGTGGTGAGTTGCTTATCAAATGTTATAAATAAAGACTTGCTGGACTCCATGACCATAGGCAAATCACTTAACCTCTCATTGCCTGCTGCAACTTTTTTGTTTTTGTTTTTTTGGTTAGGCAATGGGGTTGAGTGACTTACCCAGGGTCACACAGCTAGCAAGTGTTATGTGTCTGAGGTCGGATTTGAACTCAGGTCCTGGTGACTTCAGGGCCGGTGCTGCGCCACCTAACTGCACCCCCCTGCAACTTTTTAAGACAGTAAGATGCAGGGAGGTACTAATCTGACTTGATGGAGGGAATTTCTCATCTAGAAGTTTCCTATACCAATAGTGTCAAATTAAAAAAGAATCAGATCCCTACAGGTTACATATGAATTTAGAAACCCAACAATCAACATTATCTATGTTCTATTGTATTTTTATTAATTTTGCTAAACATTTCTCAATTACATTTTAATCTGGTTCTACCAGTCGTTTTGCCAGTTTTTTTTTCCAGGCTGCATCTGGCTGGGAGTTTGACACCTTTGTCATATTCCAATAAAATTGCGGATTCAGTTCCTAGCTCCATAAAATTCAACATAATGGGAATGAATGGTGAAAACTTGTAATTTATTAGAATCTGAGGGAAATTATTAGATTGACCTCTATATTTGCAAAATTTTTTATAGACATTTTATTAGTTACTTCTAACCACCTTATTGGGTAGATTTGTCTTGTTACTGCAAGATTTTAAGAAACTAAGGTTTAGAGAATGTACAAAGCTATTAAAAACCCACAGTAAGGACTTGAATTTTCAGTCCCAGATATTTTTCTGTTGTTCAGCCTTTTGAATTGTGTGGTTAACTTCTACCAACTCTTTGTTAAGGTGAGAAAGGGATGGCACACATTGCTGAAACCTAAGCCTAAAGTTAGTAAGGTTATTATTTATTTATTTTATTACCACCCTTGCTAGAACATCTAAAAAGTGGCAGAATGGACTGGTTTGGATATTGTTTCCTCTCTGTCTTACCCATTCACTAAAGAATTTCCTTACAGCTAATTGAATGGCCCTGAAGTGGTTAGCAAAAAATAAGTATGGAAGCTGAAACCCCACAAGCCAAATTCTGAATAATCAAAACTTAAGAGTTCATAAGGATATTCAATGTTTTATGAGAGACCACTAAAAATCCTACTAGTGGAAATCTGAAGTTGTTATTCCTGCACACCCCCTTATGAAAATATAGCTAACCGGAATAAAGAGTATTGAATAGGGCCCTTAAGGGAGAAAGAAGGGGCCTGAAGTCATTAATGCTGTCGTAGGAAACAGATTTTAAGAGGTAATAATGTGACCACTGTGGAACATGAAAGTTCCTGTTTGTTACGCAATGTGTACATTTCATTATTTACACGATTTCACTAGGTGATTGTGGAGTTGTGTACATAGCAAGTCCTGACTGTAGCACCGTCACAGCCTCTGAGAATAAAATGAAATATAATTATATTACTCATGTCTTTGTGCCAGGATTTTCCATGAAGAACATTTCCCTAAATCATGACCTATTTTCCATTTTAATTTATTTTTTAAAAGTCACTAAACTGTTTTTAACAATTCATGAAGTCTTTGGATATATTTTGTTTCAAAAATTTCTACTGTGCATATAAAAATGAAGTACCAGGTAATAAAAATCCTGAAGTGGGAAACAATTCGATTTAATAAATATTTTAAAAATGCCAACTATGTGCAAATTGCTTTTTATGCAGTTACAAAGCTCTCTTGTTTACCTTTTCCTCTCCTAGAGACAATGGGGATTTTGGTGAGTATCTGAGGGTAACCCTGTTCTATTTCTCTGACATACCAAAGAAAGGTTCAAAGCAGTTTCCCATGTAAGTATTAGACTATTCACTTATTTCCTCCCACCCTCCCTTTTCAGGGTTTATTTCTGAGAAGTAGGGGCTGGCTCTGCAGTCACAGGAACTGCATATAGATTCTGATTCTGTTACTATCTGTGTTATCTTGGGCTAGTCATTTAAACTTGCAGAGCCTAGCTCTGCAGGTTCTAGGAGGACTAGGTGACCCCTTAGGTCCCTTTCAGTTCAAGATCTATGATTCTATGATTGACATTTCTCCATTAGTCAATAAATATTTATTAAACACCTATTAATAAGTCACTGAGTTGCTACAGCACTTGTTAGCTGTTTTTAAGGTTGGACAGAAGTTTAATTGTTATAGGAGGTGTGTGTGGGGGGGAGAGTGAGCCAGGAATCTTTAGGGTGGGGGAAGAATTTCTAATAAAAAAAGAAGAAACCCCCCCCCTTAAGTATTAGAGTGTTCTTTCATTTCAGTCAGTACTGTACTATCACCCCCATGGGATGTTTCCTGATAATCTTTTCCACTCCCAGGGCAAAGAGACTTATTAAGACTTACCTCTTTTGGAATATGCTCCACCCCCAGTGAATTCATACTTCTCACTGTTTTTCTCGTCTAGCTTTATGGTTGTAAGTTATATAAAGTAGGACTTTAGACGCACACTCTCTCATTCTGCAAAACAAACCTCAGGGTCTTGCTGCTACACACATACACACGAACGCGTGCACACACATTCTAGAGTACTCAAACACAAGCACACACACACACACACACACACACACACACACGCACGCACACATTCAGAGAGCTTGGAAGTTCGTACTGCCTCCCTGGTCGCGGAGAACAACAGGCTTTCTAGAAAGTCAGTACCGCCAGCCAGGAGAGAGGAAGGTGCCGACAAAGCTTGTCCATGGCTGACTTGAGCTTCATTGAAGATTCTGAACCCTACACTGGGAAGGAGGAAGATGATGAAGAAGAGGAGGAGGAGGGTGTGGAGTGGGGTTACGAGGAAGGTAATAGAAAACCCGGCACAGAGTTGGGTTATCGTGGCTAGGAGCAAATCTCCTGACAAAAGTCCAGGCTATGGAGGTCCGGGCAGTGTTCACCCTCCGTGTGGGCTTGGGGTCTTTTAGGTAGGTGTGCGGGGTGGAGGTCGGTGGGGTTGGTGGCAGTGTCGAAGAGAGCAGGCACTGCGCAGCCCCGCAGCGCCTAGCGGGAACTGAAGGGTACGGAGAGACGAGGTGAGGAGCGCAGAGGCAGCCTCTCCAGCTCTGCTCCCTGGCTCTCTTGCTTGCTTGCGCTGAGAGCCTGCCCTTGGTCACTGGGAGAAGGCCCTGAGGGCACCGGTCCAGCTGGGAGGCCACTAGCTCCTTCCTGGAGTCCCTGCTCCCTTCCCAGAAGGGACCCACCTCGAACCCGTGGCCTGATTTTCTTTGTAGTTGCGACCTAATATAATTTTTGAGGATTTATTGTTGATAGAAAGTTTCTCTATCTTCGAGAAGAGCTTTTTATCTTTTACCCTTCTGATTTACTGAATTCTCCCCTCCTCCCCTCAAAAACAAAAACAAAAACAATTCACGATATTTTATTATTTGGCTATGCTCCCCCTCCCATTATCACTGTATAAACTTGATCTATATATATGTATGTGTATATAAATTTAACCAGGGAGGCACACAGAGACACACATTCTGTAGTTAGCCTAATTTACCTCATTAGCTGTTATTCTTTTTGAACTAAGTTCTCAAGTTTCTACTAGAAGAAGAAAGCATAGCTGATGAGGGGTATCTAATGACACATAATGTTAATGGAGCCTTATTTCATCAATGTCTAATTTAGACCAATTATCTTGACTTGACAGCCAGTGTGGCATCATGGATAAGGAGTCAGACTGGCCAAGGAGTCAGAAAGACCTGTGTTCAAATTCTTCCTCACATACATTCATTCAGGCTGTGTGACCCAAGGAAGTCACTTAACCTCTCTCTGCCACAGATGACTCTACAAGTATGAGTTGCTGATTTACATCCCTTTAAAAGTTAGAATTGTAAAAACTAACAAGAACCTAACAAAATTAATGGCTTCAGAGTTATTCAAAACAGTTTTGGAGCAATTTTTACTGGACATTTTGAATATGTTACATTAGTGAAATTTCACATTATATGATGCATTATGGTACAACCAGCTCTTTCTATATGTCAGTTTCAAACTGAAAGAGTCAGAGATGCAGGAAGGCTTTCTTAGAATTTAGTGCTCTAACTTTCTTTCTATATATTTAGGGCTACTAATATCATTTTGAATTAGTACTGATATATACAATGTTTCTATTCACATACTTATACAATGTATAATTATGTCAGTTTTAAAAAAGCATATAATGAATTTGTGTGTGATATATTTTTCACATTTGTACACATGGATACCACATATACATATATGTATTATATATAAACTCACGAATATCAGTTATCCTTTTCTATTTATCTCCACAAGTTTTTTTTTAACATTACACCTGCCATTCCATTTGTTCCACATTAAGCAGTATTGCTATTACTAGTGGTTTGTGATATTTTAGTACCTCTTGTCACTTTAAGATATTTTTGCCTTCTTTAAGTCACAAATCACATAATTATATCTATGTGGCAAAAATAAAAGTGTTATATTGTGCTATAAATAAATTAAATTTTTTTTGTTTAAAAATTAGTAGTTTGGGTAAGATGGAAACTTTGTACAGTAGCTTTGTCAGAGAATCAAACATTGCTTCAAAATCTAATGAAATGTATTTATCTTTCTTTTACCCATGTAGAGTTTCATGGCCATGAAACTTGTCCACAAAACAAGGATCTTATTGATGGAAGTGTCAGGGTCATAAACAGAAAACATTACTTTGACTTTTGTTTTATGCTTTTTATGTGTATAACCTACAAAAAATATCACTTTGTTTCAACTTGATTATTATTTATTTTGTTCTTAGGAGTTGAATGGGGCTTGGTATTTCCTGATGCTAATGGAGAATATCAGTCTCCTATCAATTTGAATTCAAGAGAAGCCAGATATGATCCCTCACTGCTGGATATCCGTCTGTCTCCAAATTATGTGGTGTGTCGTGATTGTGAAGTCACCAATGATGGACATACCATTCAGATTGTTCTCAAATCAAAATCAGGTATTTTTAAAAAATTCCATTTCCTCTGCTCTCATCCTCCAGTAAACCAAATTGTTGTTATTGTGACCTACAAAATAATAATGGAAAAGCTTCTATGATAATAAGGAGGCAAATAGAGTAACATTTCTATTTTTTCTGGAAATATACTAATTTATCTTATGCATTATATTTCCTTTTCCTCCACCCACCTCTGCAGTCGCAAAGCTTTGTCAAAGACTATTGTTTACACTAGGTGAAAAGTGTGTATGTGTATACACACATACATATACATATATACACACAAATATGCACATATTTACGCATATATATGTGTGTGTATATATATATATATAATATATATAGTTTTTATGGAATATTTTTAAAAGAGAGTCATTGGAATCACAAGATTATCAGATGATAGGTTTAGACCTGGGAGGGACCTTGGAGGACATATAATGCAACTTCCTGCTTTCATTGATGAGGAACGAACTCGAGGCTCAGAGAGAGATTAACTTGCCTAAAGTTTCACAAGGAATAAGCAGTACAGCTGGAATTTGAATCCAGCTAATCTAGCATCTTTCTACTATACCACACTCAGAATGATGTCAGGTAGGTTGTTATGTACTGTGCGATAAAACATTTCACTAGGTGGTGGTGCAACTTTATTTAATACATATGACAAAGGCTGTAGTTTGGAAAATTGTAGGGCCTCAGGAAAGAGTTACAAAATCCATACATTACCCTTAATTATCTCACCAGGCTAATTTTATTAGGAAATTGCTATATCTTCAATGTTAAGGCAGCTAGGTGGCATGGTGGATATAGGGCTGGGTCTGGAGTCAAGAAGACTCGTCTTCCTGAGTTCAAATCCAGCATCAATCACCTACTAGCTGTGTGACCCTGTTTGCCTCAGTTCCTCATCTGTAAAATGAGCCAGAGAAGGACGTGGGAAAACACTCCAATATCTCTACCAAGGAAACCTCAGATGGGTCCACAAAGAATAGGACATGATTGAACAACAGTTACAAAACCTTCCATGTTACACAGGAAGGCTAAATTAACACTCCTCATATGTAAAATGGAAGGATTGACTAGATGATCCCTGAATTTCCTCACCCTTGATTAAGACCATTGCCCAGTGCATGGCCAGGTTAAGTGACCTGTCCACACAGAGGTCACATAGACGGTATGTGTTAGAGATGGGACTTGAAGCCACATCTTTCTGCCTTTGAGTGTGGCGCTCTATTCACCACACAACACTGTGTTTCTCTTGCTTAGTATACTAAGAAAAGTTGGAACACACACACACACACACACACACACACACACACAGAACAGTTGATTTTTCCTGGAAAACACTTAAGGAAGGGTGAAAAATTAGAATATATTTGAATTACATAAGATGCCTGACAAGCAGTGCCTAAATGTGCTTAAATTAATTCAGAATCAATACATGCGATATTTCAAACTACAGATTCTTTAGATTTATCATTACCCAGTTCAAGCATTGATTTCTAACTATAGATTAGTCATTAATTATGGATGGTTTTGGACTTTAATCTAGAATTAATCTTCTTATGGAAGAATTGTAGATCCATGTTTTCTTTCATGCTTGTCCAAGTTTGGTCAAGGTATGTGCATTATACCCAATATAATATGGATTTTTGTGCTTGATAAACAAAAGATTATGTTTGATTACCTTGCTCATATCTCAGATGCAATTTTGAACTCAATCCATAATCCAGATTATTTTTCCTGTGGCAATAATAAGTATTTCAAGTTTACTAGAATGGGGTTGAATGCTAGTTTTTCTTGTGTGGAAAACATGTTTTAGGAAAAAAAAAACTTGAATATGCCCTGAATGCTGATATATTGCTGTTACTAGAATAAAGGTTGTGTTAAGACAGGGATCAATTAATTCTTTTGTTTCAAAAGTTATACCTGCTCATTGTCGTTCAGTTATTTCAATTGTGTCTTACTCTGTGACCTCATTTGAAGTTTTCTTGACAAAGACACCAGTGTTGTTTGCCGTTTCTTTTTCCAGATCATTTTACAGGTGAGGAAATTGAAGCAAACAGGGTTAAGTGAGTGGCCCAGGGTCACACAGCTAGTAAATCTTTGAGGCCAGATTTGAACTCAGGAATCTGAGTCTTCCTGCCTTCCAGGCCCAGCACTCTATCCATTGTGCCACCTAGCTGCCCCCAAAATTATGCCTTTATTGGCCAGTTTGATTCAACGTGTATTTGTTAAGTGCTATTTGTCTATACTAAATACAAAAAAAAATGATCTTCCCCCTCCAAAAAAAAAGGATTTGACACTGTCCCTGCTTTCAGGGAATCTACAAGCTCATAAAGGTGGTGGTGGTGGTGAATAGCAAAGATTGCACACTTGAAACAATATAAAATAAATGCAAAATATTATAAAATTAAATACTAAGTTGGAGGTCATAAAGGTCTTCCACTGCCAAGGAAAGGGATTTTGCTTTAAGTTGTGGGGAGTGGGGTGAGAAGAAAGGAGAAATTGTGGGTATATGCATGGAGGAAAGACAACTGGAGAGGGGAGAGGATGGCTTAGGTCTTAAGAGGAAGCATGGCTGAAGCTCTTAGCTAGAGTGGGCCACATGAGACACCCATCAATCAGGATTTTGGGGTGGGAGGTAGGAGGAACTCTGGAACTGAAAGGGTACAATTTTCTGGGGGCTAGGTTGCATAGTGGATAGAGCATAGGGTCCGGAGCCAGGAAGATCTGAGTTCAAATCCAGCCTCAGACACTTATTAGCTGTGTGACCCTGGAAAAGTCTGTTCTTTGAGTTCTTACTGAAAGACCTGGGGATATTTAGCCTGGAGTAGAAAAGAATTAGGGGCAGCTAGGTGGGACAGTGGATAGAGCATTTGGCTTGGAGTCAGGATTCAAATCCAAATGACAAACCATTCCAGTATTTTTGCCAAGAAAACCCCATGGACATTCAGACATGATTGAACAACAAAAGAGAAAAATTAGTGTATGGATGGTATTGCTAAGCTGGAAAATATCTGGAGGAAGATAGCTTTTTTCAAGTATTTGAAGTTGTTATATAGTTGGTCACTGCATTGATTAAATTCTTAATTCTTTCAGAGTTGTTCATTTTTACAATGTTGTTATAGAATAAATTGTTCATAGGTTTTTGTTTTTCTTTTTTCATGGGAGAGAAAATAAAAGCTTATTAATAGAAAATATTTTTTAAAATTTTATTTAATTTTTATTTTTCATAGTATTTTATTTTTATGATCATATGTAATGACACATTTTAACATCCATTTCAAAATTTTGAATTCTAAATTTTTGCCTTACCTCCCTCTCTTTCTCCTTCCCTAAGTTGGTAAGCAATTTGATATAGGTTATATATGTACAATCATGTAAAACATATTTCTCTATTAGTCATATTGTGAAAGAAGAAACAGACCAAAAGAAAAAAGAAACTATGAAAAAATAAAGAAAGTGAAAATATATGCTTCGATCTGTATTCAGACTCCATTAGTTCTTTCTCTGGATTTGAATAGCAGTTAGAAAAAGTAATTAAAAAAAAACTTGTTACATAGATAAGGGATTAGATTTGTTCTGTTTGGCTCCAGGGGAAGAACTAAGTAGAAGAAGAAAAGAAGGAGATTTAGGCTTATTTAAAGGAAGACTTCCTACATGGGAGATAATGGGTTTATCCCAACTAGCAGAATTCAATGGAGTCTGTGCAACCACTTGTTGGTGATGTAAGAGTCTTCATGTTCACATATGGGTTGGATCAGATCACCTCTGAGCTCCCTTTCAGATCTGGGATGCTGTTTTTCTCTAATGATTTCAGCTTTGGACATACTCAGTTTGAGGGAGTGGTAGGTATTCCAAGGACTGGTCTCCAAAAGCAGTTAGAGATATGGGACAGAAAATTTTTCAGCCCTCTAAATGAGAAGATAAAAGTGAGATTTGGAAGTCATTAAAGCTGTAGGAATAGATGAATTCACAAAAGAAGAGATCATAGGGCAAAGTAACAAGAGGTTAACTACTGAACCTTGTGGGATACCTAGAGTTAGGAGATTTAAGAAGAAAGTAGAGCCTCAGGGAAGTCAATGAAGACTGAGGTGGATAAATAGAAGGAAAATTAGGATTCTGCAGTTTTATGGTAATTGAGAGATAAAGATATTGCAAGAATGTGGAAATAGTTAATGTCAAGTACAGCAAGAGGGTCTAGAGCAGGGGTTCTTAACCTTTTTTATATCACAGACCCTTTTGGACATCTGGTGAAACCTAAAAAGCTCAGAATAATGTTTCTAAAAACATAAACTCAAATACAGAGAAAATAAAATAAAAGAAACAAATTATATTGAAATATAGTTATTAAAATATTTTTTAAAAAGTTCACAGACACCAGGTTAAGAACTACTGATCTAGAGAATGTAGAACATGAAGGCCTTTGAACTAATTAAGAACTGGTACTGAAGTAGAACTGATGGAAACCTTGGTGGGTTGGTGACAGTTCCCTCTCAGAATTTTTTATTTATTTATTTATTTTTAGGCAGTTGGGGTTAAGTGACTTGCCCAGGGTCACACAGCTAATAAGCGTCAAGTGTTTGGTCTGAGGCTGGATTTGAACTCAGGTCCTCTTGACTTCAGGGCTGGTGCTCTATCCACTGTGCCACCTAGCTGCCCCATTCATCTCAGAATTTTTGAAAGAGAAAAAGAATACCTGGTGTGGAATACATGAATCTGAGAGCTCAGGAGAGCAACTAAAGCTAGATTAAGTTGGTCTGGGAGTCAACTGTATATAGATGATAACTGAACTCATGAAACTTGATAAGATCACCAAAGATAGTATAGAATGGAAAGATAATAGAGCTTGGAATAGAACTTTGGGGTATACTTACAGTTAGGGGGCATGATCTGAATGGAGAACTATCAAAGAAGGAGGAGTAGTTGGACATGAAGGAGGTGAACCAGGAGAGAAAAGTTTCCCAAAAACCTAGAGAGGAGACAGGAGGATGATAGACTGAGTT